TCTCTCTCTCTCTCTCTCTCTCTCTCTCGCATAACATTCCCACAAATCTATCAAAGATTTAAAAGTAAATTGAGATTTCAGAGACGATGATAATAATGGATAAGCAGTTTGAATGTTATTTTTAGCTTATAGTCAGTCCTTAACGTCTGACTGACTGATACTGTGATATCGGATCTGTATTTCACTGGTTTTTGGTGTCAGAATATTCACTACTTTCTAACAAACAAGTGCTCGATATATAACACAACCATTCATTCAATTCATTAAAAAATTCCAATAAAATTATTCTAAAATAAGAGCTAAACACAAATATTTTCACGATATTTATTTTAGTAAAAATATTTTGATCCAAAATACATACTAATTATTTTCTTAAAACATTTATTATAAGGTTTGGTATATTATTTAATGCTTTATACATTTTATTAAACATATTAAAACTTAAAATACATTATTAAAGGCATTATTATTTTAATGAAAACTACAATAATTAATAATTATCATCAAAAAAAATATTTATTTTATAATAATTCACATTTAACTCATTAATACTTTATAAGTTATAAATTATAAGTTTTAAAACTATTGAATTAATAAATTTCAGGTGCAATCGGGAAGTCCGGCCTCAGACGCTGGCCTCCGATCGGGTGATGTCCTCTTGAATGTGGGCAACCGGTCGACGACATCCCCTCCTATGACTCATTCACAGGCCAGGGATATAATCAATACGACCGCCAATACGCTCAACATTCAGGTGCAGCGCCCACAGCAACAGGGTAAGAGTGCCTCAAAGTGCCTTGTTACTAAATATATTGCATCCAATTCTTGCAACAACTTATATTTAAGAAAATATATTCAAAGAAACCTTAAAATACAAAATCGTTTTACAAAACAAGTTGTTTACATAAACTGAATGTTTTAAGCCATAAAAATAACATAAAATTCTTCCGCATTTCATTCAATGCATTGTCGTTAACGACCAAAAGGTACGCCACTTTCGCCCTCAAGATCTCTATCCCCAGCGTATATATCGGAGCCGTCGTCCGCACAGACACTCTACAGACCAGTGCCCACACAGAGAGGAGTTATCCCACAGTTTCCACTCGATTACGACTCGTCGATACGAAAACCCGAAACCAATACTCAGGAGTTTCTCAGAGAGAAGGCTTTAGAGCAGTGGGCTATCACTAAACAAGTGAGACATGCATTCATTGCAAACAATACAACTCATTATATTTATATTAATTATTAATATAACATATAATACAATTGTATAAATATTTAATACCAACAAATGTTGTGTCAAATGGTGTTTATGAAGTAATAACTGGTTGTTGTTGTCGTTTGCCAGACGTACCGCACACTGCCATTGATTGAGCCGAAGCCCAAAGTACGCCGAGACTGTCCCACCGGCTCCTATATGCGCCTAATGGAGGGCCCGACTTGGCATGAAGTGCCCAAAACTATTATTAATCCAAATCCGCATAAATTGCAAGGAGTTTTGAATAGGGTATGGATTAGACACCTGTCATATGCAACCGACACATCCATAATAATAACTTGATTATTTTCTGACATACAATGCAATAACTTATTAATATTAAAAGATATTAACATTCTCTACCAATTCAACATGATCAGAGAATTGGTAGTTATTATTATAACTAATTATAACTTACAAAATTAAAATATTTGCATTTTTTAAAAATTGAACCATTGAGCTACCGTTTAACATTTAGATTTATGTAATCTTTATAAACATATTACTCGATATTTTATATATATTTTTTACAGTTTATGTTAACTAATTGGTTGGTATTTATTTGTTTACTAATAAAATGTTAGTTAATTAATTTCTAAGCAATTTTATAACATAATGCATGGATAGTTTTACCTCATGGTAGTAATAAGTATACAAGTAACAAGGTTAATAATTAATAAAGTAAAATTGGTGTAGCTAATTTTGTATTACGTTACACCATAATGTAACATAAATTTAATTAATACATAAGGATAATTAACACAAAAATATATATACTTATCTAAACAGTACGGACAGGGAGTCCAGCAAAACAATCCCGGAGTCGTTCATTTGCAGTACAATTCGCCGCTCAATATGTATAGCGAGGATAACGTGGCCAACGTATTAACGCCGTAAGATTATTGTCGTTTCAAAACTAACATGTTTATTGTTATTTTGTTGATAATATAATTATCAAAATACTGCTAAATATAACTTATAAACAATAGATATTTTAGCGTGTAGAATATCTAGCGCCAATAGATTGACCATCATGATTCAATACAATAATAATACATACTGTAGTGTACATTAACGGTAATAATTTAGCCACAAGTGTATTAACTCATAGATATATGCGATCGGTTACGAGCAGTCCATTAGACCGCATATGACTAACACATAACGAGCGGTCCTTTCGTCTTATACTCAAAGATGTCTTACGAGAAGTCATATCTGAGATGATGTAAGATATATATGTTATATACAAGACATACAATCTTTTAATTATATTTATAATGATTATTATTATTAAGTATTCGGATCTTATTTACTATTAATAATATTCGTGTTTCAAATGTTGTCTGTCTCTATCAATCAATTGTTATTTGTTGTTTCGTATGTCTATTATCGTGATTATTATTATTATTGTTTATTCTCAATATATTCTTTATCGTATGATTTCTTTCATATTCTTTCTGGTAGTATTAATGCAAACATTTATTGAATATTTTGTTTAATAGTAGGAATTTTCCCATTTTATTCAATTTAAAACTCAAGTCGTTTGAGATTTTATTTCTATAAGTAAGAGAAGGGGAGGGATTATATGCCCAAGCAATATAGTAATGGTTTAAATCGTCAGTTTTGTGTAGAAATATAACATAGAAGTAAGAGCTCCAGTCCTCTAACGAAAAGATAATAAACACAAATTCTCTGTCATTACTCTCTATTAGTGTTTTAATTGTAATTTGAATTCTTTCCAAAACCCATAGAAAACACATTAAAAGCGAAACTTTAAATTCTTGTCTAAAAATTTAATTTCACAAAAATTTTAGCTCTAATTTTATATATGTTTTGTTTCATGAATTTACTCGTTGTTAAGACTCATTTCATGAGTAACTCATTCATGCAATACATGTTAGTTCAGGAATCGATTCGGCAAATTGGACACATAATTTGGGTCAATATTAAGAGAGATTCTCTATATATTTTTTGTATAAAAATGTTTCTCATTTATCTCTGTTAAGCCATGAATCGGACCTCAAATACTTTACACTAATCTCAGAAACGAGAACTTCAATAAAAAACAAACACTTTTCTCAATTGCATTTCTTTCTCTTACTATTGCTTTGCTTTCAATACAATAATAATAGTAATGAAACGTGCGTTTAGTACTCGTTGTGCCCCTAATTGTGCTGAGAAAATAGTTGGCTAGAAAGTAGAGGCAAACTAATCCCAGATCAGTGTCTTTATTGATTTGTCATTTCTTAAGTCGACCGCAAACGCCACGACTGGTGCCGGCGTCGGGCCCACAGCCGGTGCCGCACAGCCGCACGCATCAGCTCCAGAGACCCATAAACGTTGACATAACTCAGTCGCCGACCTATCAGATGCTGCAGGAAGAGGAAGAGCCGCACCGTAAGTATGACTCCGTTCACAACGGTATCTACAGTGTTGTCCGACCGACAGGTCAGCCCTCGGGACAGTCGCCCAAACACTCGCACTCACCCATTGGACTCCATTCGCCCGCATATCCCACGCAAACGCCATACTTTAGATCACTTATGAATTCACTTCTGCCTAACCCTGGATTTTGAACATATGATAGTTTTTTGCCATAATTTAACCGAAAAATTCTGTTTAACTATTATATTATATATCGATATAAAAATGAAATCAAAATTTAGTATTATTTTAACTATTTGTTTAATCAACAATTTTATTGTTGTTATTATTACTCCACTAATTAATAATGTTATTTGGAAATGAATATTAATTTTCATTTAACTAACATTTGTAATGAGTCCTAATTTTAATTGAGTTTTGAGTTAATCAATGAATTAATACAAATAAAATCAAAAATAATTATTTGTTATAAATTATATTCAACATTTTATTTAACTAATTAAACCAAAACACACAGGAATTGCTATTTTATTAAAGTATTTTGTTAATTACGTACAAAATTTAAATATATGTTACTTTTATTATAATTAAACAAATTATACAAAACTAGTGTTTAATGGAAAAACACATGTATTTGTTATTCGCTATTATTGTCCACAAAAATATCCAAAAATGTCCAAAAAATATTAGATTCCGAGAATTTTCTTATTAAATCAGAAAATAATTAATTTTTGTTCTCCGAGTCTATGATAACAACTAATTATCAGAGAAAAGCATTCAATTCCTAAACACAATGTGTTTTTGAACTTTGTTTGCAAATCTGGAAATTTTTCTAATTAATAAATTCATTATGTTTTTAGTTTATAGACAATGTTTTATTGACTTAAATTCAGATGATCAAGTTCATCGATTATTTTGTACATAACTTAGTTTACAAATAAATATAAAAATATATTATAACATTCACACTATATGTGAATTAATTAATTATTTTTTGTTAGATTTTAGCAAAAGTTAAAAATGTTAACTCAATTAAGAATTAATTATTAAACTTTATATTACCATTAATACTATGTTTTGTTTGCTTTATTGCTTTTGACAGACATGTAATACTTATACGATTATTAAATAAATAAATTGTTTTATTTTCAAACTACTATTATTTAATTATTTGAGATTGATGTTGTCTACAAAAGATTCTATAATACAATATTATAAAAGTATGAAAACAATATCATTTAGTATAATTTATACATATTTATTAAATATAGTGTAATATTAAAATGTCATAATCAAAAATTTGTTTTGTAATCTAAAATACAAAATAGCAATATTTAAATTGTTTATACATTATATAAGTGAACGGATCTACAGAAGTGTTTAAAGAGACAAACTTTTAATAACTTAAAAGATTATGTAAAAATAATTAATCATTAATGTCACTATTAGTTCAAAATAAATTTATTCTGGTGATAAAAAGTAGCCACAAAAGTAATTGCTGAAACTACAGTATGATGTACAATATAAAACCTGCATATAATGAAACAGCTATGATATAATGTATAAACTATGATATAACTTACTTTATTTACTGCAAAGTATATAATTATTAATTGGTGTTAAACATGCACAAAATGTTAAATTTACAATGAATAAAATATTCGGATTGTTATATAAACTTTACAAACTTTATTGTTATCCAAATATTATAACTATTGAGTTTTGCTAGTTATCTACTCCTGACCCCCACCCATTCTCATACTTATAGCATTTGATTTTAATAACTATAATATAATTCTAGTGTATATTAAAACACATTCACTTGAGAATAATTTTTTATATTCACACAAATAAGTTGTTTATTTTAGCAGTGGTTAACGGAAATGACTTTACATTAGGCTATAATCATGTTGTATAACATAATTGTATTTTCATTTCGTATCACAACAACAAAAATTCTATTAAATAAATATTTTATTAAATAATACATTATTATTCTTTAAAGAGTAAGTTTCCACGACTACCACTACCTGTGCTCTATCGCACCGGTAGTAGCCTTTATCATAACTTTTATATATAATTTATAGTATAGTTACTATTGATTGTTATTATTATTATTACTACTTTACAAAAGCAAACATAACAATAGGTATATTTGTTTAAAAAGTTAGTTTTGTAGTAACCAGTAATGCGAGTAATACTGTATACAAGTTTTGAAGATATAGCAACACGAATGACAATGTTTATTTGTCTCATGTCTATCTCAAATGACCAATGTCAATCTTAAGACATGTTTGTTTTATCGTGATTCAAATGATATAAGGTGTTAGTGACATAAGTGACTTAACAAAATATTTTCTATTGTAATGTATAATAAAGCCAACAAATCACAGGTTTGATATCAAATTCACTAATGTTTTCACACGTTATTTAATAAAAATAATATTTTTTGAAAACAAGTTATAGTTTAGTGACAAAAACCATTGAAAATACTCTACGCTTGAATACTCTACTCTCGGATGTATATAAAAAATATCGAATATGTGCTGTCGTTATGTTTTTTGCTCATTAATTCTATGATGGTATTTGGGATGGAGATTATTATTGTGTTTTATATACGGGTTGGGCTCACCTTATTGTGAAATCGCCAAGGACATTCGCATTTTATTTTATTGTACATAATATTTGCGGTTCCCATTTAAAATATAATAACCAATGAATCAAAATAATTTATGCTTCGGTTAAATATTATTTGAAAACATTAAATAATTCTCATTTAGTGTATTCCTATGATTATTACAAATGAATTAAATACATACAACAAATGCATCTAGTTTTAAAACAAATCTTGTTGTAATGTATGATGAGAATTTTAAAATGAATTTTATAAAAACTATTTATCATTCTGTTTTCATTCGTTGTTTAACGCCATAATAATTTTACTAACTGACCATGTTGATCTCATTTGATGATTTGATCTAGCTAACGATTTGAAAATATGTTTCTTAAAGACTTCAATATACTGTTATAACAAACAGTAACTTTTTATAAAAAGATTGACTAAAACTTCATAAACAGTACACAAGTTTTTTTTAAAATGTGATTTTACTATTTTTGTGTTTTTGCAATGAAGTAACACTTAAACAATTATTTTGATTTAATTGTATCATAATTATTAAATTATATGCTGAGCTGTAATTGAAATTAATGTGTGGATCAAAAATTATACATTACTACAGACTGTATAAGTGATGTGATGGTCAGAATTGGTACTAAAAATCATGATGACTATTGTTACTGGCATAAAAAGTGTTTGATTAATTTGGTTGTGGTTTTCTATAGTATTTTTACACAATTTATAAAATATAAGTGATATGTTTGTGCGGCGAAAAGCCATTTTACAATTGGCCTTCGCGTTGATTGCGATAATTATAGTAATAATTAACGCAAACAAACTTCTGATCGCATATCACGTGAATCGCTGCGAATGGCCGGCCAGTGATGAGCCCATGAATGCCACAAAAGTGATGTTTTTGTCTGATCTTCACTTACGGGTGGATAATATGGATACTATTTTTGACAATAAATACCACGAATGGAAAATGTATTATAATTTTCAATACATTTTGCAAACATTGAGACCTCAATATGTGTTCATTTTGGGCGATGTGTTTGACAGCGGGAACACTGTTTCGGACACACAATTCACAGCACTTGTCAATAAATTTCATCAACAATTTCCCAGTAATTAAATTATTTACAATATATTTAATTTATAATTTCTACATAGTATTAAAATATGTTTATAATACAATAGTTGTATTTGAATATTTTATAATCTATTAATAAGTTAACAGAATTTTAAGAATGCTATAAGATCTAACAACTGATACAATTTTGATGTATTTTGCATTTATAAAAAATTAATTCATAATTTAAATCCAAATTAACCCTAAAATAATTGATACGTTTGCATAAATATTGACAATTCAAATGTAAGGCATATTTATTACAAATATTCAGCACAAAAGAGTGGCTCAAACACCGACTCGATGCCAATCGTATACATAATTAACGGCAATCACGACATAGGCTTTCATCCATTCATGACATCCAATAGTAAATCACGTTTTGACCGCACATTTCATACCTCTTCGGCAAAACTCATACAAATAAATGGCATTAATTTCGTTACAATTAATAGCGTAACAATGGAGGGAGACTTTTGTCAACTTTGTTCACAAGCCGTACAACAATTGCACACAATTGGCCAACAATTGAGTCAAAACAGAGTCGACAAAAGCGGACCAATAGTTTTGACACATTATCCACTCTATAGAAAGGATGAGAGTCTCTGTGGTTATGATTTGGATTCCATACCTGAAGACCAGAAATACACACCAAATCGGCCCAAATGGGACTGTTTGTCGGCCAATGCAACGCAATTCATACTCAAAACATTGAGACCTCGATTGATAGTCAACGGACACACACACTATGGATGTGTTATACAACACACCGATAGTCTCTACGAATGGACTGTCGGCTCATTTAACTGCAGGAATACATTAAATCCGAGTGTATTGTTGGCCACCATATCATCCGATAAATACTCAATCAATAAGTGTTTGCTAACACATGATCTGACATTTCTTGTCATTGATATCCTATTGATTTCTACATTCACTCTATGTTTTTGCTTTTTATTCAAACTTCGTAACAGGATGATTTTTTCAAATAATATGATTTATGATACAAATATGGAAAGATTTAAATAAGATTTATACAGATATATACTTAAAAATTAGTTTATAATTAATTTTATTAAATCAATTTTTAATTGAACAAAAGGATTGTTTATACTACAGTATAAAAAATGTTTTTGACAATAAATACCACGAATGGAAAATGTATTATAATTTTCAATACACTGCAAATATTGAGACCTCAATATGTGTTCATTTTGGGCAATGTGTTTGACTGCGGGAACAATGTTTTAGACACATCATTTACCGTAATCATCAATAAATTTTATCAACAATTTCCCACTAACTAAATTGTTTATGATATTTTTAATTTATAAGTTTAGTTATGATTATAAGCTATATATTAAAATATTTTTATAGCAATATGATCGTACAGTTATGCGCGCATACAGTAATGGCCCGATACTCGGGTACTTACCGGACCCTTGCCGTGCGGTTTGGTTTACAGTTGCCGGTGAGAGGTCTGAGCGTTATAGTTGCAAAGATGCACAATGTTACTACAAGCTATTTATTAATAATTGCACAATGAGAATAAAATACAATAAAATTATGTATAAAAAGTTATTGGTAGAGCTTGTATGAGGTGTATTGTACTGGCCGGCACTGTACTGGACTGTACTGTATGGGTATACTGCATATCATATGAACTGCCTGGGATCATTTAAAGGTTCATATTTATATTTTTATATAATTTTAACATTTTTAATGAATCGATGCATATTTTGTGCTATGAGTAAACCTATGTATAAATATTAAAATGAACCTTAAAATGATCCCAGTCAAATGATATGTAATAATTTATATGGGTATGTATTTGTGGTAATACTGCAATACAATAGTTGTATTTAAATGGACTACTTTTATTGGTATCAATTTTATTATCATGTTTACTACAGAATGAATAATTATAGTCATATAAAACAAACCATTTTATGACTAATAATAAATTATTCACAAATTATTTAAATAAATATATTAAATATAATATATATTTTGTCGGTCACAACCCGAATGCAATTGTGGCTTGTTAATTTTGCGAATTCCCCTAATGTACTAGCTAAACCGAAGATAATTATTGTTTAAACACATTTAAGCGCAACATATGTAACGCTAAAAATTGACATTTATTTCTTTAAAACTAAATTTTCTGTAGATGATTATAAAAATTATTTTATTTTTATGCTAGCACAATTATTTATTTAATATTTATACTCATATTTTAAACTGAAATATTTTTGATATAATTTGACCATATTTTCGTAAATAATATTTAAATCATTTTAAATTATGGACATAACAGTGGTTTACGTCTGGAATAAATAAATATTTTGAGCATCTCTAGTAAGAATAGAATAATAAGATTCATAATTAGCATTGCTATAATAATAATATATGATAACTATTTCAATCAACCTATCTTATACTGATAATAGGTTCAGGTGCATTTGAGATGAATATATTTTATATGCTATACATGTAATGCAAATATAATATTAAAGATAAATATCTATATTCTTTGTGTCCAACAATTAAACCCATTGACGAGTGACACAATTTTTATGTGTTTTATAAATGTTTAAAACTATTAACTAAAGTAAGACAACACTTTATCACTAGTTGTTTGATATAGAAAAATAATTAAAAAGTTCTCGATCATATTTGTACTATGTTTTAAAATTTTAAAAATATAAATGATATGTTTGTGCGGCGAAAAACCATTTTGCAATTAGCCATTGGGTTGATTGCCTTAAGTATATTTATAATTAACGCAAACAAACTTTTGATCGCATATCACGTGAATCGATGCGAATGGCCGGCCAGTGATGAGCCCATGAATGCCACAAAAGTCATGTTTATGTCTGATCTTCACTTACGGGTGGATAATATAAATATTATTTTTGACAATAAATACCACGAATGGAAAATGTATTATAATTTTCAATATATTATGCAAACATTGAGACCTCAATATGTGTTCATTTTGGGAGATGTGTTTGACAGCGGGGGCGCTGTTTCGGACACACAATTCACAAAACTTGCTAATAAATTTCACCAACAATTTCCCAGTAACTATAATACAGTATTTATAGTTATTTGTCATTTGTATAATATATTATATATTTAAAATATTTTTATAATTAGAATATTCAGTAAAACAATTATTTGTTTTAGTACCAAAGAGTGGCTCAAACATCGACTCGACGCCAATCGTACACATAATTAACGGCAATCACGACATAGGCTTTCATCCATTCATGACATCCAATACTAAATCGCGTTTTGATCGCACATTTCATACCTCTTCGGCAAATCTCATACAAATAAATGGCATTAATTTTGTTACACTTAATAGCATAACAATGGAGGGAGACTTTTGTCAACTTTGTTCACAAGCCGTACAACAGTTGCAAATAATTGGCCAACAATTGAGTCAAAACGGCGCCGAAAAACTCGACAAAAGCGGACCAATAGTTTTGACACATTATCCACTCTATAGAAAGGATGAGAGTCTTTGTGGCTATGGTTTGGATTCAATACCTGAGGACCAGAAATACACACCAAATCGGCCCAAATGGGACTGTTTGTCGGCCAATGCAACGCAACTTATACTCAAAACATTAAGACCTCGATTGATAGTCAACGGACACACACACTATGGATGTGTTATACAACACAAGGATAGTCTCTACGAATGGACTGTCGGTTCGTTTAACTACAGAAATACATTAAATCCGAGTGTATTGTTGGCCACCATATCATCCGCTAAATACTCTATCAATAAGTGTTTGCTAACACATGATCTGACATTTCTTGTCATTGATATCTTATTAATTTCTACATTCACTCTATGTTTTTGTTATAAATTTGGCATTTTATATAGACGTCGTAAAGTAAAACCATATTTACATAATAATATTTGAGTTAATTCTACATAGATGAACAAAACAAAATATTGTCATATTTTTCCATATTGTGTTAGCTTTAAAACAGAACTTAAATTTTATTTTATAATAGTTATAATAACAGTAAGGTAATTTATTTTATCATTATCATGTATTATTAACAATTTTATTTACTTTGTAATTTACTCATTTTAGTTTAATTATATTTTAGTCAATTGTATTATATAACCTTTAACTCCCGGGCCATTAACTGTATTTCACTGTACATTGTACATGAATTGGGTGGAAACTGTACCCTCAAAAAAGAGATGAGCAAGGTGGTTAATTTGCAAATAAAATTCTGAAGTGGGTCCGA